TGTTTTCAGTTTAACTAACTACTTTTCACAGAGCTGCAAGAACTTACACATGATCTAAAGGAATGGAATCCAAGCTCTCAATTGAAACCTTTTGCTCCTCCATCATGAGCATGATTTCCCCTGAAACACAAAAAAGCGCTGTTATAATATTCCGAGTACCTCAGAACAGATAGATTTCATATAGATGAATAATGAATTTCTGTATTAAACATGGGAAAGATGGCTTAATTATGTTAATTTCACAATGTTAGGCAGGACAATCATTTCAGTCTGCTTTCTATACATTTAATCAAGACAAGCAGCCACAGAAAGCCATTTCACTCTATTAAGGTTCTTTAAACATGGTATACTGTACATGTACTTTGCCTGGTGAAGCAGACTTAAAGAGTGAAATACTTTCTCACACCTACTGTGAGAACCCAAATACAGCAAAACCAATTTTTAACACCTCCTGTTCAACATATGTGTGGATATAAGGCATCTGCATTATAGGACTGAATACAATGGTGTCAATGCCTCCTAAGATGTGCTCGTTTTATTATCTACTTGACTATTATGTATTTAATATATATTAACATACAGTATATACAGTACTAAAGGCGTGAAACTAAACAGAAGTCTCCAGTCTCTTTTCAGTGTTTGCATAGTAAATTACAAATAATAGTTAAAAGCTTACAATATGTAAAGTCAGCCACTCAACACTTCAGTCGCCACCCCTAGATAGTGTGTCTGGTGAGTATCCTGAAGTGTGTTAAGGGGTCAATCTCAGGGGAGTAGCACTGACCTGAGGTGACAACACAGTCTACATCTTGGCTTTCCAGCAGGCTGTTGTAGAACTCCTCCCGCAAAGCCTCCAACTTCTTATCAAAGCAGGGTGCCACCACCACATGGTACACTTTATCTGGGGAGAGCTTCTGAAAAACAGCATCAAACACTCCCTTGTCAAGAGACAGATAAAGCCTGGGAGCCTTTTTACAGAAGAAGCAGGAGGTTTAAGTTCTGTGGCTGCAATTTAGGGTTTTCAGGATTTCCACGAAAGAAGACTCACTTCAATCCATAAGGTTCTTGTTTCCTTTTGAATGTGAACTATTCACAAACTGAAAAAAAAACACCTTAATATCAATTTAGAAATATATTTTAGGAACTGAGAATAGCCCTGTAGTTGTGGTAGCACTCAAGTAGTTTATTCAATGTTAACAATACTAGCTAGTTTAGTGAATACATTAAAACAAAAGCGTTTGGAAAGTCATCCAATCACTTCTTGTGCTAATGCAAAATGCATGATGCATCTATTTTTCTCTGACGATTTATTAAATAAAATGTAAACCTAGGTTTTAGATGAAATAAACACTTGGGAAAGCTGAAGAACTTATTAATGGATTAACTAAGGACTAATGTAAAACGCATAGAAGCTAGAACACTCCCCAAAATTTTAAACATTCAACAAAAGAAGGTTTTAAGGCTAACCAGTTAATTAGCCAAGACAGGCCCTTGAGTGACAATATTAACATGGGAAACAGTATCCTCAATGCTATGTGTTTTTTCTGACGTGATGAATCTCCTAATGGCTTAAGTACTCTGTCATGATTAATATTTTTTGACGATGTATGCAGATACATTATTGTTAAGATATTAACAATGGTACAAATATTTATACACTTCCTCTTTTATTAAATTGATATTTAAAACCAAATGTAACATATTACATGAATTCACTTACAAACTTTAATAATTTCACTCATCCTTAAGGCTGTAAAAAAGGAGCTAGCTATTATGATTGTTATGATGCTCACCTGCTGTTTGGTGAAATAGTCCTTGACCAGAGAGCCCATTATCTGCTGGGGGGATTTGGAGGTGCAGATGTGTGGGGTCACAAGGCTACCCAAAACACGCTCTGCATAGCGGATCCACCCTGAGAACAAAAGGTCACCGTCAGTCTGGTCTCAGAACACCTCACACAGCACCTCATTCATGCCATTTCCACGAAAATCAAAGCAATGGCTTGAGCTTATTATCCCCTATAATCTGGCTGCACTGGTGTTAATTTTAATTAGAATGTCCTTTAACTCTATGACTAAGTCAGATCACATGAATCTCTTGCTTAACATTGAAAGCCCTCTTTATATAATGTTCTGACTGCATTATTTCATTTGAAATGCTACTGTATACCGTCATGAGACTTTAGGGTTTTCTTAAGGTATCCGAGTCTTCACTCTGCTTTAAACAATCACTCCCAGATTAATTGTGTCGGCAGGTTATCAACTGGGACACATACTTACAAGTTTAATGTTTCCATGGATCTTACAACTAAACAGATAAGTTATTACATACAGTATAATGATTAGCATCGTTATTACCAATACTAGTCATAATACTTTATTTTATAATGTATCGCAGCTTTGCGGAAGCGACAATTCTAGTATATGTTTTGACAAGACTACTGATTATTTGAGCAATACAACTTCAAGGCACAACACATTTCAAAGCACAGAAATCAACTGCATGTTAAAAACTGATATTTATAGTTATATTTATATTATTACTATGGGACGTTGACTCCTCCATCAGTACTCTGATGACTAAAGAAGTTCTACACACAAATGTGTGCAGCCTATGATCCACAACATTCTGTATCCAGAAACTTTTATCATATACAACATTCAAGACTTAAACACTGTGTAAAATGTTCTTTATTTTTAGAATATATTTGTATATTTGTAACTGCACTGCAAAATAAATTTAAAAATAAAGTTGTAAATCATGTACAAAGCTTAATTTTTACTGCTTTACTGCATGTAAACACAAATGTGTATAATATGTTTATGTACAAAGCACAGTTTTAGAAAGATGGAAGAGAAGATAAAAATCAGTACCAAGTTTACAAGTGGTTTAAAAGTTGGACTTTACGTAGCTAAATGTATAAGCAGTAATCAGGACATATCTCCACAGAATACTTACTTGTGATCTGGTACTCTTTCATATTACATACCTACAACTCCAATATCACTCACTCTGTGAGTGAGGTAAAAAAGGAGTCATGAGCTGCCGTGTATGCGAGGATGGGACAGGGACTCTCACCTGGGCAGGCAGAGGTGAACATAGGCAGAGCCTGCTGGTCTTGGTTCCTCCTCCGGTACCGCTGGACAAACTCCCTCTGGCTCTCCAAGAGGCTGAAGTCAGCCGCCAGGGTGGCATCAAACACATGGTGCACCCCTGGCAGAGAACACAGGCTTTGACTGAAGATGCACAAGCACCTCTGGGTAACACTTTAGTGTGAGTCTGTGTGACATTAATCTTTAAAAAACTCTATCAACATGCCAGATACGCTTCAAGAACAATGACATGGAATATCCCATGCTGTAGGTAAAGAAAGAAAAACTGAACTAAAACAAAGTTAATCTATACGAATTCAGTTTATGGGTGTAGGTAGTAAACAAACAGTCACTGGACTACATTTTCCTGCCCTGTCAGAAAAACAGGCCAATATTCCTCATATTCTTAGATAGGACAGTGTAAGTACAGTTAGAATATTACTTAGATGTACCTTGACTCTTCAAAAATCCACAAAGCTTCCTGGTGGAATCAGGAATGCCGAGGTTGAATTTGGCAGCAAAGAAAGGCAGAGACTGAGGGCAAAGGGAGACTACCAGCACTTTGTGTTTTGAGGTATCACATTTCTGTAGGAAAAACAAAGAAAAAAATATTAAATTAATGGTTCACTGATGCAAAAGCTTATAAAGCACCTGTATTTCTAAGTAATTATGACAATTTTCTACTAACAACAAATTTATGGAAGTCACAGCAGAAAAGTGTCGACAACAGAATGGCCATGAAATCTGGATTTCAACATGGTTTCAGAGTTGCCTTTAGGAACACATTTAGACTGGTCATCATTCAACTTTGGTCCCTAACTATGAGATCCTGCATTTTTCATTTACTGTAGATGTTCACAATCAGAGAAAGTAGAAATTCCATGTATATAGCTAGTTTTTGGAGTACTATGCTATTCAACGCTTTGCTCATGAGTAGCAGGTCAATTGTTAGCCATATACTGTAGGACGCTCCTATAAAATCAGTGACACAGGAGAGAGGTGTGCATTTTTTGGGGCTTTTTTCTATGAGCAGAGTTCTATACATTACATCTCTGTATTCTGCAATTGATAGACTGGTAAGAAAAGACAACACTACAAATTATACAATACCTGCACCATTTAAAAAAAAACGTAATAACTGCACCATGGTACAGACCTCACGCTCAACATTAAATCATATACTTTGACAAGGCTGTATATTCCACAAATATATCCCTTCCGTGATCAAGAGAAATTCCTGCTTAATTTCAGCTTCTTAATGCCACCTTATTGATAGATATGAGGAGGCACATTTTATGATATTACTGCCAAGTAAAGAAAAAGTATGAAGTACGTATGTAAGTATGTAGTAGAAGTAAAATGCGACACTCCTGGTGTGATATTAAGGCAATTACTCACCCAGGAAGGTTCTGCACCCCCAAAATCTTGTTAATGAGTTGCAATATGTTAATCAAGTTAGGATAAGAAACTTTGTTTACAAAAATCCACTTAATGGACAATCAACTTTCTCAAAGTGTAAAAATCTTCTTTAAGTGCTTAAAAAGGCGAAAATTCCCAAAACTGTAAATAAGTAAAGTTACCACATAGTGTTACAAACAAATAGCATGCCTACTACTTTTCTTCTCTTTCACATCCAGAAAAAACAGGAAATGTACTTTTGATATGTCAAAATTGTAGGAGCTGCAACTTAATACTGGGTTTGTCCTTGGAGGTTTTGTTTGTATGACATCATTCATACTTGGTAGGGAAATTCCCTTTTCCAAAACCTGTTCCACCTGAAGCTTCAGAGCTTGCATATGTCTCAACAATGGACACATCTAAAGCAAGCCTTTAGTATCTCTGTGTGCCATCAGACAATGAGCAGTCTTGCTGAAAAATATTTTATTAAGAACTGAAACCTAATGTGTTTTTCATCTGCAGTGTGCTGGACTTTAAACTTACAGGTGTCAAGATATAACCAATAAACATGATACTACATTGTTGTTTCTTCCTGTGAATAACATGTTGTATTACTTACTCCACATAACCTGGAGTATAACACCCTGAATGTATTAACTGAACAAAAGGTTAACTAAAATCCTTGAGGCCCTACGTCAACATACTGTATATATTAATAGACAGCAAAGAGGAATGTACTGTAGTTCCTGCACTAAAATCCTAAATCTTCTTGGTTCAGAGCTGTTCCTATGCCATTCTCCTTTAAAGTGAAAAACACAATACCTTGTTAAGGCCTAGAACCCGGGAGAATTCCTTAAGGTTCTGCTGAGATATCCTGTGGCGCTCCTGTTCTGTAATGCACCGATCACAAGCCAGACAGTCACTAAGAAACACTCTCTCGCTGACTAGTTTGTGGAACTCACTCAGCTGCAAACAAAGGCAGGCACAGTGAGTAGGCAGTCTTTTTAGGAGGTAAAAAATACATTTTAACTGAAAGAGAACTTATAAAACTGATTTTCACGTGAACTTTTAAAACAATGAAATGTAAGGTATAAGAGGAAGAGAGACAACTCTCCTAGCAAATACAGTACATACAGTATGCCATAACAAAGACACAGTGGAGTGTGAGATGAAAGGATCCTGCCTTGACTTCAATCCAGGAATACTTCTTTCTTCTATATACTGTACTATTATATACACTATATACTATTTAATTATATTCTTTATACTTCTTTACTTCTATAAGTCTTTAAAACATACAATAAGTTCACAATTCTATTCAAAATATCTTTTGTTGTTCGTAGAAATCCTTTTATAATTAAAACTACTGCATGTTAAATCATGGATAGAAGCAGAACTTTTGCTTTCTCCTCCCAAACCCCAGACTCTTTAATGATCCCTACCATAACTAATTAGTGGGACATATGGAAAAAAGTCAGCTGTTTGCTAGTGATCTCACACATGTCCAAACTTTGACTTACGTAATGATTTTCATCTGAGGTCTGGCTTTTATCTTTTCACCCCCCTATCATCCTCCTCAAGTAATATTCACACTATGGGAATCCAAGACTAAGCACTAAATAGACAAGCTTTTGAAAGGCAGTTTCTGCTGGGAAAAAAAGCATCAATGTAATTTTGTTCTCTGTTCTATTTAGTTCTCTTCTTGAACATTTAAAATTAAGAAAACATCAGCTTCACAAAAAAGTTCCCTTTAAGCATTACCTCCCCATTTTCTTCTGTCTTCCCCACAGAGTTGCTTGATGAACTTTGGTATTCACCACCTGGCTGTTTCTTGCTGCATTCCTGTACAATATTTAACAAACAAAATCATTAGCCACTTAGGTTTTCACCTTTATTATCCTCTTTTTTGAAAATATGACAAGAGCACTGCACAACAGCACATCGGGCATTTAAATGTCAAATGACCTTCACAAGAGTTTTTATTTTCATAAAAATTATATGCAAAATACTGTGGAATGTAGCAAGGAAAGTTTTTATTTCTTATTCAATTACTTTGTATCCATTGCTTGCCATGTTTGGCTTAGACTCCCCTGTTACCCTGAAATGGACAAAGCAGATAGAAAATGTATCGATGGATATTCTGTCAATGTGGTGGTTTCTTCCATTGGACATATATTGTTGTGAAATGTGATCATTTATGTTAAGATACTGATGAACCACATGTTTTCATATACACACTCAAAATAATCATAAATTTGGTCAATTTTAAACCGATGCTGTGTCTCATTTGTTGTTTAAAAGAAAATTAAAATCCAATAACCATGTAAGCAAAAATGTATGAGATTTACTTTGCTGCATTACCCTATTTATGCGAGATGAGAAAATGACAAGTAATAGGTTTATTCCATGCTGAAAGAAGAAAGAAAACAACGTTTTGGCTGTGAAGCCTTCTTCGGGTGTAAGCACAATTGTTTTCTTTAAAAAAAAAAAACTTCTTCCACAAGCTATGACTTCACAGAATTCCCATAAATATGTTATTCAGTATAGAACCCAAAGGAATACAAGTTTCTACATGTTTATGAGTTACAGGGTAAGGGATTTACTGGGGATTCTTAATCCAAAATTACAGAAAATTAACAAAGTCATATTTATGCTTTATAAACAATCATTAGAAACCTCAAAAGAAAAATATTGAGGTTACTATATCCAACACAAGATGCAATTTCAATGCTTTCACAGAAATAAGTGAACTGAAGAAGTGAATTTGAAGTGGTAATGGAAGGTTAGTAAATTATTAATCAAAAGGGTGAAAAATGTGTCAATAGCAGAAAAAAGTGAAAACAATTTTTGGCAGACAACAGAATCAAAAATGGAGGAGAGGATGACAAACTTTTTTTTGGAGGTGAAGATCAAAACATGCCACAGGACTGAAACATTCATGCATTTTGCATTTGTGTTTATAACATTATAACAAAGTAACCACATATGTTTTGTGTTGAAAAACATCACATAACGAAACTTTGGAAGGTGAAGGCAGCTACTTCCCCTGCCTTCCCTAAATGGCGTACCCGGGCATTATAAAAAAAGTCACAATCTTCAAATGAAGCACCACCACAGAAACAAAAGGATATTAAAAATTTAAAAATAATAACATCACTTAGAGCAGGTATTATCTACACAGCGAACACTAACATCATCCATGATATTCAGTTTTGAACTCCTGCTCACTGAAGCATTACAGGCATTGACGACTCACAGGCTAGTCAGATGTAGATTTAACAAATAACAAATCTCCAGGTGATTCGGCTAAGCCTGATCACTGACAGAACTGAGTGAATGCAATCCAGGCTACCTTACGTCTCAAACAATGTGAAAAAAAAACAGGTTCTTCATCATGGTTCACTGTTGAGAAAAACAACATGACAAGATAGGGGCTCTAAGCAACTGAAGGGAGGAAGGGAGAACCAAAGAACCAAATATGAGGTCATATTACAAATTCTTCAAACCTATTCCTAGTTATGATGTAAATAAACCCACGACAATTAGGAAATCAGAACCTGAAAGAAAAAACAGAAGCAAAACTCCCACATGTTAACGATAAAAAAAAACATTTGGAAAGACCCAGTGTTTGCATCTCGCCCTCCAAAAAAAAAAGTAAAACTGTCAAACTGTTTAGAACAGGAAGCAGTAGAGTTGGTTTTCATTACGAAGAGGTAATGATTTTCATTAAATCAAAAAAAGCTGACAATCAAGAGACCCAAGCAATCTACTAGGCAGACATGAAGTACAACCCAGTGATCAATCAACTAAAATATCAGAAACATACAGCTTAAATCCAAAATCACAACCTGATAGCTGAGGAGAGTTAAGTCATACACTTCTCAAACCCACACAAGCAAAGACCTGCTTTGTTTGGCTGGGTGTAACAGGAACCCAAACCAAGCCTAGTTCATGAAACTGACAGCTGATGGAATTTTTCAGGGATCATACATTCCATATAAGCAAATATTCTGTGAATGTGTGCTATAATAAAGCATAAATGTGCTTTCCAAGTTTTTAGTGCTGAAATGGTGGAGAAAATGTACAAAGCAATTTCTGCAAAGCTACACACACAAGTATTGAGTTTAAACAAGGGTACTCTGTTAAACAGTAAGTTAATGGAGAGGGGGTCACACAGACATTTTATGCCACTCAGTTTATAGCCTCTGTGTTAGGATAACTGAACAATACATAAAACCAATGTCATATTACAAAAGGAGAAGGTTTTATCTTCAGCTAGAAGGACATCAGCACTAGGGGGTTAAATGACGTGCTCAGCAAAACACAGTGAAACAGTGGCAGAGCTTTTGTTCAAACCTGCAACCTCCTGACAAACCTAAAACAATAGTCCACATTTACTCCACTATTTAGTTCACTATTAAAAGCAGAACAAATATCTAAATATATATATATATGTTAAAGCTTCTATTTTGTTGAAATAGCCAGGATCTTGCCTATTTCACATTACTTTCATATTACTGTTTGTAACATTATTTAGAACAACCCTGTGTCCACGTTTAGAATAACTGAACTGTTTGAAAATGAATAATCAGTTAATAATAAACCTCGATCATTTATAGGTTTGGACACCCACACAAAATGTTAACGACCCAACCACTAAGCTGACAAGCGCATAAACAGGACTAGTAGAGCACAGGCCAATTTCTTACCTTCTTTGTGCAGTTCTCACACTTCATTTGTGACTGTTTTTCCGCCCTCCGACTCGGGTCCCCTCTCGCACCGAATATTTGTGTGCAGTATAAAGGCTAAAAGCCCGTGTTATGTCTGTTAAAAATAAAAACAACTTTCACGTGAAAATTAAAGTCCTTAACCTCTACCCTTAATTATGCAAGACGTCTCTTGTCATGTTTAACTACAGTATCATCTCAGCTTTCCTCAATACAGAACGCCTGAGTCGGACGAATGGTAAAGCGTGCCGATGTAAATGACACTCACTCTGTCCTATCGTTTGACTTGCAATAACCCTCCAATCAACAACGAGACTGGGTTATTTTCCGTCTTGCACCCTCTGCAAATAGGACAAAGACACTATTTCTGTAGCCTGTTAACACACAAAATAACTTTCACTGCGTACTGGCAAGGCCTGTTGTATACCCCAAGTTATGAATAGCTTACCTATATAGACCCTACGCTACAAATACCAATAATTATTGGACTCTCACTGCTTTAATTAAGAGATTTACTACACTCTAGTTTTCCGCAAACTACCACCTGAAAGTACCCATTTCACAAAACGCATAATAACTCGACTTTAAAAAACTTTAATCCATTCAGCGTTGACAGAATAAACACGGACATCATGCAGAAACAATGAGTAATGATAGTCCTTCACTGGATGTTTTGACATAATTGCTTTGTGTTTAATGCTTGAAAATGCCTGAAAGCTGTTCATGGGGCATAAACGTGTCTTTACAGGTAATGCCATTTCAAAACCACCAAAACATAAATTAACCCACTCACCTGCTTATATTCGTATTAAAATGTCGTTTGTCAAAATCCCTGAAACACATAATGTAGTCTGCACGAAAGACCTGGGTGGTCATACGCATGTGCCTGTGCCTGTGCCTTCACCAATCCAGCGTGCAAGCCAAGACGCCCTTCACAAACTGGATATTTTTCGAAGCTTATCCGTGTCTTTCTATTCTCTTTATAGAAGTAAAACACTTTCGTAACAGACTCCCGTCCACCGCACAGGGAAAAAAAAACTCCTCTGCAAAACCAACGGCGCATGTGTGCAAGTCATGGTCCAGATCGCACTGTGCACGTCACCATGCTTTTTAAAGAGACCATACCACACTGTGGGTGGCATTAATAATATGTACAGGCGCTATTGTCCTCCAGTACAGTACATCTCAGACTCTGCGTGAGTAATATTAGTTACTAAAGCCGAGTTAAAGCAGCTGATCTATGATCATAGGATTTTCGTGCGGTACTTGCGGTTTCCTTTCAATCCTAGCTAGCATTATTGCACTTTGCCTTTATTGCAATAGATTGCATTTGTTATTATAGTTCTCGTATCAGAAGTATTTTTCTGTCTGTACCTGCAGTTCAGTGACACGCTAAGCAAACAAACAACTACAAAACAATACAACTGATAGTAATAACAAAAATAATAGGCCGGCAAAGGCGTGTTAGTTACAGTAGCTCTGCTATAGTATCTCACAGTTCTTGGATCTCTAAATTGTCCTAGTCTGCCTACAGACATCCAGGAGGTGCAGTAGTCCTATCGTGAACCTTATCTCTCTAGACTAAACTTACCTTACCAGGAATAAACTGCTTTCTGAGTATGGATAGTTAGATAAAACGTAAATTAGCCAGTTCGCAGATACTGTAAATGTGTATTATTTTGTCTATACAACAGTAGCTTGTGCCCTTTTGTCTTTTTCTCTTAAATTTACAACCCAGAGTACAAACAGTGGCAGCACCTTCAAACGCACAGATACAAAAATGTGTAATGATTACCGCATACTGTATGTGTAAGTACAGTATACAGTATGTGTAATAAGTACTGCATCCAGCATCTTAATTCTAAAAGCATGTTTTTGTCTTTTTAACTATTGTTATATATGAATGGATACCTTATCGTATGACCATCTGCCAGGTTGTAAAGACGTTAATGATCTGGAAATACACTATGGGGAATATGGAAACAGAAGTTCATGGGGTGTAACAGAATGGAATTTGGGAGGGCCAAATTGTGTGAAAGACCACGCACAACAAACAGTGAAACAAATAGTGGAAAAAAGTCTGACCTGAAAGATATCACCTCCCAAAAAGCAATAACTGTTTAGATGTGCCAACAACTGTGTGTAAGAAATTTCATCAACAAGGACTTTGTTGCAGCTATCCATATTCCAATGAATGCAGATAAGCAAGGGTACAGATTTTGCTGCAGTGGTCTCCAAACCATAGAAACTATAGAAATGAGACCACCAGAGGAATGGCTCTTAATCTTTAGTTCTCTAAATGCGTTCTTGCACCCATTACAAAAAATTCTTGGAGTAGCCCAGTTCTTTAAACCTACAATATACAGTATCATACTGTAACTACAGAAAGAAAGAGATAGAATTATATATCTAGTTTAATTTCACAGTAAAATAGAGAATACATGAAAAAATACACTTTTTTACAATAATATATTTTGATTTCTCTCTAAATGGAAGAAAGCATGAAGAACTGCACTTGCACTTTGTCTAAATATACCTTAAAATTCCTGGGACTCATGAAAAAAAGCAGTTGTACTTACAGTATGTGTGCTTAATTTTTGTTTTTGATGATTTACCTTTTAAAAAAAAACATTGCTCTAGTGTAAGCATAAAACATTTGGGATTGTGTGGGCTGTTGAACCCAGGTACATGCTGCTTGCTTTCCAAAGGGAGGGTCTGACATTCTGAGGTGATTTTCTCTGGCCACACACTGTGGAGGTATTAATGTAAAGGATGGGAATGTGTCTCATGGTTTGGATTACAGCTAGATAATAAATCCAGGACTGTGTTGAATTTTGTGAAAAGGGATCTGTCTCTACAAGACAAAAATGCACTATTTTACTGTGGTTAAAGAAGAGCATTAACGAAACCATTTCACACACTACTCAGAATCCTAATCATAGTGCCATACAGTACAGCTGAAATAAAATGGAATGGTAAATACTTAGTTCTTTAAGGTCTGCTATGATGGATATGCTTCATAATCAGATATACTTCGCTAATTTATATTTTTTTACTACATAACAGGAGGCAGGGGTGGCACAATAGCACATTGGTTAGCATTGTTTCCTCGGAGCACTTGGGCCCTTACATAAATTCTGGACCTGGGTACTATGTGCGTGGAGTTCACCCACAACCTTGGACTAGATGGAGCAGTTAGAAAATGGATGGATGGTAACAGGAAGCTTTATGAGAATGTAGTGGTTTATGTTAAACTCAGTGGCATAACATGACTTTTAAATCTTTATTTTTAATTTCTTGCTTTTATTTTCCTTTAATGATGTCAAACACATTATAAATGTATATTCTTTGTTAATAGAAGATGGTTGCACAGAAAGAAAAGCTGCCACATTTAAATAAATAAAAAAACATTTTAGCATGACAGGTAAACATAGAAGCTGTAAGATATCACTTTCTCATTTGTTGTTGACAAGTTTCAAAATATTCCTATGGACCTCTGCAACAATTATTCAGCAATGATATTTTGACCGAGAAAAAATGTGGGACATTACTTTGTGTGTGACCTTGATACTGTCCTCACTGCCATACTCACCATTGATCTACTAAGTGATAAGGGCAGAAAAAGAAATCATGTGTGAACTATTCAATGGGGGAAGTGTGCAAAACAAAAGCTAATGTGTATTACGTTTCAAAAGTCAAATGGAAAATGTGAAATTCTGTTACCTATGGAAAAATAAGATATTTAGTGTGTATTTTATTTTTTTAAAGGATTAGTAAATACAGTATGTTATGAGATATCCCAGTAATATACAGTAAGAAAAAATAACTTTGCAAAAGTTAAACCTTTGATATTTTTCATTTTTATGGCAAATTTAAAATTGTATAACTAAGTTTCCAGGTGACAACCCTAGATAAGACTTATCAGTTCTAGACAGGGCAGCAATTAGGCTTTAGTGCAACATGCAACATGGCACTTTGAGTCACAAGAAAAGTCTGCCAAAGCAACTTCCTCTGCCCTACTGTCAAACTGAACAGTGACTGGAACTCTGTACGCAAACATATTTGTCATTTTGCTCCTATTTGTCCTGTTCAGTGAAAAATAAAAGTTAAAAAATTGGAGACTTTATAGGTCAGTTTCATGGAATGCATTCAAAACATTAACACCACATTGTGATACCACACATCCTTAATACACCTTTCAGGGCTGTGTAAAGTAAATGTGCTTTAGCTGAGTATAGGTGATGTAATTATGTATTGCTTAATCTACTTCATTTCTTGGCTTAATATACCGAACTTATTTTGGCATATTATTTATATTATATTATTTGTAACAAACAAGAGGAAAATTTCACACAATGGGTATTCATGGTTATTAAAGTCTGCAGTCATATTAATAATAATAATTGCCTACACTTATCTACTGTAGCACTTTTCTGGTGCTTTACTGGTAAAGGGGACTCCCCTCTACCATGATCAATGTGCACCCCCACCTGGATGATGCAACAGCAGCCATTGTGCGCCAGAATACTCACCACACACCAGCTATCAGTGCGGAGAACAGAGTAAATGAAGCCAGTTCATAGATGGGGATTATTTGGAGGCAATGATTGATAAGGGCCAATGGGAAATTTGGCAGGACCTCAGCTTTACGTCTCATCTGAAGAACAGTGCCTTTTTAAAGTATAGTTTCCCCATCACTATCCTGGGGCATTAGACTGGGGTAACTGGGGTAACCACCCCCTGCTGGCCCCACTAACACCTCTTCCAGCAGCAACCTTAGTTTTTACCAGGAGGTCTCCATCCAGGTACTGACCAGGCTCACACCTGCTTAGCTTCAGTGAGTTGCCAGTTGAGAGTTGCAGGGTGACATGGCTGCTGGCATATTATCCTCCATCTCACAAATGGTGAACCTGGCCAGTACCTGGATGGGAGGCCTCCTGGAAAAGCTTAGGTTGCTGCTGAAAAAGGTTTTACTGGAACCAGTTAGGCATGCTCACCCTGTGGTCTGTGTTGGTTCTAATGTCTCAGCATAGTGACAGGGACACTGTACTGTAAAAAAGGTGCTGTCCTTTGGATGAGATGTAAAACTAAGGCCTTGTTTCTCCATGGTCATTAAAAATTCTAGGGTGTTAATCCTGATGTCCTGGCCAAAGTTCCCCCAGGTCTTTACCAATCATGGCCTCCTAGTATTCCCAATTTATGAATTGGCTGCATTGCTCTGTTCTCCTCCCCACTGACAGCTCATGTATGGTGAGCATACTTTGCGCACTTTGGCTACCTTCTCAACTTCCAGGGTAGTCTCCATTAACTGTAAAGAGCTCTGAGTAGAAAGTCCAGAAAAGTGCTATATAATAATCATCATCATCTGTTGCCCTTGGGCACAAGTAATAAGAGCGTACTCTGATAAATTCTAAAATCTGATAATAAGATTAAATGTAACAGAAGGTCAACAACGAGAGAAGGCTTTTTGGAACATTTAGTTTGTTATGTTACTAGTTGCTCTTGGATGCGAAGATCACATCCAGGCGTTAATTGAAACAAGCTAGGGTATCAGCTTCAACAACATGGTAATGAGATCGCACCTACTGTACAAAAAAACAAATGATAGCATAATCTACGTTCTACAGTATACAGTGAGGGAAGGGCCCATTTTCTTAGCGGCCAATCAGAAGCCAGCGCAATGAGGAAGGAAGCAGGACGTGCTTATTTTTTTTCGTTTTCTCCTTACTTCCCCATTCATGAAAGTACTATAATTTGAACACGTCGAATTGCTAATAATAAAAGTATCTTTGTCATTTAAAGACCCTAACCTGGTTAAAGGTAAGAGTAAAATAACTATTTTGTTACAGATCACTGTTTCCCCGTGTCAAGCCTCTGTGTATTTGTTTTAGCAACATTGTAACGGCTATAAATTAAACAACCTCGTGTTCAGATACCAGCGCCCTGTTTAAAAATCTAATGCATTTTCAGAAAATAAACACAAAGTTCAAAGCTAGCTGGTCTCGGATACAAACTTTGATTATGTGTGTTGAAAGAAAAAAAGTGATGTGTAAACTACAACACTTCCGTTGGAAAAATACCGATCCCGCCCAACAGCAAGACGCACTCAAATGTGATGAGTTCGAGAAATATAATTCAAGGAGAAATGTGTTATTTTAATCGAAGCTTAAAATTTGTGCGACTGAAGCCATGGTGTATTTACGAGCACTATTGTAATGTAGCCACTTGCGCGTTGCTAAATGTGCTATAACAATTACTATTTTGTGTATTTGCTTACATTTCGTATGATCCAGAAATACCCCTCTTTTACCTGCCAAAACAAAAAAATCATAAATGAACATTTGACATAGATATATATATATATTGTCTTCAACGAATCAATAATTATTCGAAGTCCCCTGTAGACAAATTATACATTAAATAATTATGTGTTGCATGTTTTCTTCTAAAACGTGATCAATTTAATTTTTATTGTTATCAACATTTTTAACAGCGTTAAGGCATGTTCAATAAACAGCTCAAGGTCTGAAAAGTAATGTTAAAATCAATACGTGTAACTTGAATGTTTCTTTCCGCTTTGTTAGGGCTCCTATTTTTAAGGCTGCAGTTATAAAAGGAGTGATATTACTGCCTCCACCCTTGACTGATTTCTAATTCATGCCAGTTAGACTAAGTTCCCTGTTCCATTTTATAAAAATATTAAAAATATGATGGAAAACCATTATGTCTCACTTGGGGAGTTGTATAAATTAGTGGTCCCCAACCTTGGTTCTGGGGAACCCCGTTGTTTTCTAGTGTTTGTTAAAGCCAAACTCTTAATCTTGGGCTGATGTGATGTCAGTTTTCTCTTTGAAGCATGCTTTTAAATGCTTTAAAATTTCCAATGGGATATTTTAGGGTTAAGTACCCTGTAGCAATGGCTGGATTTAACAAACATCCCTTATTTCATCTTGTTAGCTGAAATGTAATCACTGTAGAAAGAAAATAGTCTCATTATGGGAGTGGGGTCATAAGGGGCTTATATTATAAATTTAAAGTGACTGTTTCTTACAGTATTTTTTTAATTAAAGTGTATGCATCTTCAATCTCCAGCAAGATTACAGAAGAAATGTCAGAGTCACTTCTGGGCTTATGAGAACTATGGCAGGAGAAGAGGTGACATAGTAGCAAATGTCTAATCCATTCAGCATTTTCCTTTTGGCAGATGGGGTACATGACAGTGGAGACTCACACCCAGAATCTTCTCCACTTGAAGAGGCTGCCTGGTTTGCGTTCCTGGTCTTTGCTTGTTGGTATGTTATTTACTTACTTGTGCCATTGAGATGGGATAGCATTTTATTTCAATAAAAAAATTATAAAAAATAATAACAATATAATAGGAATAAAAACATGGTGACACTGGGACCCTGTCCTCTGCATTAGATATTAAATTGAGGTCCTTACTACACTCTTTGAGAGAAAACGTGTGGTATTTAGGGTTTCCTGGATGAATTCTACTTCAGGTTTACTCAATCTAGTCTGTCTGTTATCTCCCCCTTAATTCAGTTAATGAAGTAATTTCCTGCTGAGCTGGTGGAGTGTAGTGGTTGTTTCAGTGGTGGATGAAGCTAGTGTCCTCTGAAATGAGAAGTATTTGGGGATTCTAAATGAAAAGTGCTGTATGAGGCACTACAGTGTGTTTGGGGAAAATGCTGTGGTTCAAGTATGTGACCAAAAATGGACTGATAGGCCTTTAATGCTACAATATTATTGTTTAAACCAGAAGTCTTTGATTCTGGTTTCTGGTGATTGCAGTGAATGAACTATTATACTGTAGTTTTCTTTCATTAGAGCTATCTGTTTTAAGACTTGGGGACAGCATTAAATGTGCCTAATTATGCAATTAACTGGTACACTTGGATACAGTAAATGAAAGGTCAAATGGCAGAATAAAATTAAGAAAGGGCCCCTGAATGATTAAAATTGCCTACCCCTAGTTTTAAAAATTAAAGATGATGTAAGATCTTGTTTTACATCATTCCTTGTCATAAAACCATTTTTTTGCTTTGGATATGTATCTGGTGAAGGCCTTTGTTTGAGGGTCAGGGTGAAACAAACCATTACCAATTCATTTTCAGAATTTCCAGACACTGTCACTCATCTGAAAGCAGGGAGGTAGCGCAGGCAGCCCTGTGCCACAGCAGGATGAAGCCGACACTGGTACTGAAGCTGTTTGTTGCTCATCGGCTGGCTGTCCGGTCTTCAGCAGAGTGGCGTAGCTGTGAAATTTCTGTTCTCCAACTGACAAATTAGAACTTCTCCTTCCAAATCATCAAAGCCCTGTTGCCTTTTGGTCTCCAGTACAGTGGGGGTCTCAGTTAAATTTAAAGTAGTGAATAAAGTTATTTGGTAGCTGAATTAATTTCTTTTTTTCTAAATTGTTTTAATCCCAAGAAGTGTCTTATAAATATACAAGTTTTAAAAAATGAAATATTGAATTTGTTTGGTGAATTTAAGCATCTCTGCAAGTGAATAAAGGTAGTTCTGAAACTCAGAAATTGGTACACTATTGATGCCAATTACAATTACCATTTGGCATTTTAAAGAACTGAAATAAAGCAAATTTACAAATAAGTTTCAAATGGGAAAACAATTAGCCTATAACTCAGAACTCAGCTCAAGCAAAAAATTCCAGAAGACAGTGTTCCTCTAGGAACATGGTTGGGAATCACTGTAGTAGATTTCAGTCTGGCACCTTGCAAATGAAATGCTTTTAGTATGAATATTTTTTCCTTTTTAACTCTTTCTGTTTTGCTTTACTATAGGAATAACTTCTGTTGGCCTTGCAGCAGCGTATTACAGCTCAGGTAAAGATTTTTTGTATTATATCCTTTGAGCTCTGTGCTTGGAATGTATTGAAAAAGATTAACACAACTTTCTCTCCAACCTGTTGTGCCTTTATTAAGTTTGTCACAGGACATTGACTAACACCACAAATGACATAATTGGCCATATATATTGGAGCAGGAATGAATTTCTTCTTCTCCTTTGGCTTATATTCACATCTGCCAAAACTGTGCTTTTGTCCCCCTGCCATTCATCTGTCCTAGGGGAACCGCAAAGCTATTTTTTATATTTCAGGGTTAGAAAGAATCAGCACTGATAAGTGCATTTCAAACTACAATAAAAGTAAAATTGGAGGATTTAGAAGTTTGTGTACATCACAAAATAGATTAAATTACCAGGTATGTGCAGCACCATGTTCGGTGATTCAGAATGAGGCAGTAAAACTTCTAGTGATGTGAAGTGGCCCTATTTATAGATGGTTCTACCAACAATTACAACTTACTTGTTAACTCTGTATGCAGGTCATCATCATAACAGTAACTAGTGAGCAGAATGGGGCCACATCACTTCGCAACCTGTGGTGAGACCAGGGGTTTGCAATAACAGGGTAACTTACAGGACTTTCACAAAATCAACAATTTTGTGCTTAACTTGAAATTTGTACAATTTTTCTGTGGATTTATTTTGTTACTGAGATTTAATAACCAGTCTGAGAAATTGGGACTGTAGTTTCCTTCAAGTCCCATAGCTCTCAAGTACTTTTTGTTACTCAGCATCAGATCTGTTTATTACGTGCTGTATGAGTGTTATAAATCACCTGATCACCTGATAAAAAATGACAGCTGAAAATAGTTTCCTTTGCTGTCTTTTGAAAATGTAGTCCCTAACAAGCTGTAGCCTGCGGCCAAGTGTTAATTTTGTGCTCTGTGATTTACAGATAGCTGGCTGTGGAAACTTTTCTATGTGACTGGATGCTTGTTTGTGGCAATACAGAACCTGGACGAGTGGGAGGTAGGAAAAGTAGACCCAATTAGTGGCATGTTCAATTCAGTTACTTAAAAAGTCTCCAGGAGGATCAGCAAATCTCTATACACAACGCTTTTCTAACCCCAAATCACAATGCCTGGGTAGTAGTGTTCCAGAAATGATAATACAAAACATCATCACAAATTGCTACAGTTGTTCATGTGACTTGGCTGTAATTTTTCACATATTATGATTATGTGGTATAAATTCAGGACCCATGTTGTCACTATTAGGATGTTTCATGGTTTTTCATTTGCTGAAGAAACACATTTTTTTAAACCTGGCTGTTTAGAGAAGTGCCATTAGATGATGTTTCTTCAGTTGATGAAAGAGACCTCACACAGACACCAAGCTGTGCTTTGGTATCAAAGCAAGCCAACACCCTCACAGGGACCGGTTTACATTTTTTGCTTAGACGTATAAAACCATGTGAGTACAAAGGATAAGAAAGGAATCGATGTTCTATTGAAATATCTCTTTCAACATGTAGCAATTCATAATTCCTATTATATAATATTTGTCTTGTTTACTTGTACTTACTAACTGTATCTGTAACCCAATGCTATTCTCAGATCCCTAACCAACGTTAAACACAGTGGATATACAGTATAGAGTCTAGGATCCTCATGCTATGCAGTATTATTAACGGTCTTTTAAAAAAGATTCCTTAAAAGACAGTGCCATCAATGAGAGACCATCCTTTCCAGTCAGTTATTCACAGTAATTATCATTTCTATTGCTCCAGTCTCAATCCTATTAATAAAATAATTCATTATTAAATCGAATTATCTGAAAATATTTTTCTTCTCTGTTAGAAAAGTGGTCACTCAATGCCTTTTTCTACAGACAGGAATATACCTGTTAAATGATTGCTGCAGTTTCCACTGCTGATGCCTAGTTATGGAAAAATTGTTTAAGAAATGTTTTGTTATTCTATCACCAGGCTAAAAGGCAAATGAGTGTTGTGTACATTACAATTTCAGAATGAGGAGAGAACCATTCACTTTTAAATCTTCCAATGCACTTTGTTTTTGCTCAGGAAGCCACTTTTGACAAAACTAGTGGCCAGGTGATGCTGAAGTCCTTAAATCTCTATACTAAAGTCCTAACCCTATGGAAGAAGGGTCAAGAACAAGGTAAAAAAAATACACGTCTTTGTGCTTGCTGATTTTCTTTTCCTTTTTCATGATGAGATTTAGCTTATCCTTGAAAGTGATTTCACTGGGACAGCTTCTATTTATTCATGAAAGATGCAGAGGTTTTGTAAATGTATTTGTATTCTATATTTTCACCACCTAAGGTAACTGGGCACATTGAAAATGTTTTTGTAACATCTTGCTGTCTAAGAAAATGTGTTGCATAAATGCATAAAGCCAAGGCTTCATTTCACTTTTTGAAAAGTGAAATGAAAGCATTGGGTCATAGATGAGGTATTCCATTCAGAAATACACTTGCTTCTGAATAGGTAGACAAGAGAATGAATTCTGCTGTTTTTATGCTACAAACATATACCAGAAAGCATTTTGAAATGCATCCTATTTTCCTTTCACATTTTAAGACCGACACAACTATAATACTAGTTAATAAAACTGATTCGTATGACAGTTGTGAGGACATTCTCTGGACCAGATGCAGAAAATTATGTCCTGTCAACATGCATCAGCCCACAGTAAAAGGCACCATTCTGGAAGAATGTCCCAGAAGCACATTGGTACAATTCTTCAACATAGATGTAAATACACCAATGGGTTAACAACCATTCTTTCTCCTGCTTTTCTGCTGGTAGTGGTTGCCGAGCTCAAGCACATACGTGATGTCAGCGTGGAGGAGGAGAAGGTGCGGTATCTAGGAACAGGGTACATGGTGGTTCTACGCTTTGCCACGGGCTTCTCACATCCCCTAACACAGAATGCCACCCTCGGAGGACGCAGGTAGGTACTGCAAGCAGCACTCCACCACTTGACTGCTTGAGACTTGATAACCAGATCTACCCTCACGTTTGCCTCAAAATGACCTATAACACTGACTACAGTTATCTGCTCATAATTTCCTTGACATTCTGTTTAATCCTGTCATTAAGAACTCTGCTAAAACAACTTTAATGGCCTGGAATTCAAACCACTAAGAAAGTGGAAAACCTTAATGACCTTTTAATCTAAAAATCTATATTGATACATTAGCATGTTTGTATGAATTTCTGTGTACTACTGTGAAACAACATAAACCATTTCAGTAAGTTCTACTGCACCATTTCAGATAATTCTGTCCACTATCCCTTAAGTAAAAATTAGCAAAATTGTAACGGGAACAATCTACAGTAGTTCAGGATCTCCATAAAGTCCTTTTGAGTAGTTCCTCATATAGTCTTGGTCTAGACCTAGAGCTGCTGAATCTTGAATGCTAGGAGTTTTAATTGCTTGCTTTCATAGTTATGGGGAATGTGATTGGGAGGTTGTATCTCTTCTCTTGTGAGTTTAGAGCTGCAAAACAAATATCATGACTCTGCATATAACATTAATGGTAAAACAAAACAAGTCAGAAAACTTATGTATTGCCATTAGCCTTGGTCTTTTTGTTTTCACTATCTCTTCTAGAAAATCTGGTCGTTTAGTTTTCCGATGACCCTTCTATTTGTTCTTTCCCTTAGTGATGCAGATGCTATAGCTAGGCTTCTGAAACAGTTCTTGGGGCTGGACAAGCTGAAACAGTGGGATGATGACTTAGAGAGCATTGAGAGTGAAGGGACAGACCCAGAGGAAGAAGGGGAACACTGATCTACACCTGCTCTCCAGCTCTAAAGTTGTCATCAGGGCAAAATACAGTGGCTTGTGACCACAGTTTCACGGGGACTGCCAGCCTGCCAACGAGGTGCCAGTCTTTGGTACGTTGATCTTAAACACTCCATCAACACTGGTGTGGTCACTCGTACTTTCTGGTATTAATACAAATATTAATATTGCAAGAAATCATTTTCCATTTTCCTAGTATTTGTATGGGAGGTGTCCAAGTACAGTATACTTCTCACTTTCTTTTCTCCTTGTTTAAAATCTGATTTTAAACTCAGCCTGTGATTGGTTTAAATGGCTATATAAATGACACTTTTTTCCCAGCCTGTTTGTATTGTTTTGTGCTGACCTCCCAGGTTTGATCCCGTCCTGTAATTTCCTCTTTGAATGAAAAGCACAGAGAGTGATCACATTGCCCAGCAGCTCTCTCAATGACATCAAGGGAAGAGGAAGCAATTTGAGATAGAGTACTGCAAAATACTCACTCCAGTGTCCAACTGAAGAGGGAAGGAATGGAAATTGTGCCTGCTACAGAATGTGTGCTTGCTATGTAATTACCACAAGCTTACATTGTTTATTTGTGCATTTGAGGCAATAGGCTGGCTCTATTGCCAAATATGAGAAAACACATTTTGTTACCTTTTGGTTCGATGTCTAATTGAAACCTACAAGGTCAGTATTTTTAATTATTTTAAACAATTTATTTCAAAAGAAGTATTTAGTTTTTAGATAAATTTGTACAATAGTCTGTGGGAACTGGCATCCCATCTAAGGCGTGTCCTGCCTTGCTTGCTTGGATAGGCTCCGGCTCCCCAGCAAATTGGATGAAGCACCTAGGAAGTGGATGGTTGGTTTCGTACAATACATCTGGTGTAGCAAAATGCAGACTTGGAAAATTAGGTCGGATTTCTGTACTTTTTATTTGTAGTTTTTCTATATGTGATCTAACAAAAAAAATAAAAGTGTAGATTTAAAATGCATATTCAAAGTTTGTCATTATATTTGGAGAAAGAACAGTGACACTTGCTGTTGACTATTTAGACTAGGAGCCTTGAACTCCTAGAGGGGCATGGCATCTTGTGGTTTCTGTTCCTCCTGGGTTTTTCTGAGTAATTGGTTTACATCATATATTGGATACATACTGTAATCCTCTTGAGGTCTTGTGAGCTGTTTTTTAGGTGATCAGCTCAGGATAAAGACATTTTTGTTTAAGTCGGGGGAAAAAATAGACCCCTGGTTTAAATACCATGGATTAAGTCTGCTGACTTCTACAAGTGATTTGCAAACTTTCCTCACAAGATTGATATTAATATATAAAAAAACCACAATGGTCAGAGACGGGGAAGCAGTGTGGAAACTAAAAATAAAAGGTTACAGTATACAAATCCTTGAACAAACAAATGCTAGCTGTACAGAATGGATTGGTCTTTTAATTCAAAATGACTAAGTACATATTATAAAGCCTCTTTAAAAAAATCTAAATTATTTGGTTAAATAAGTACTAAATCTCTATAATGTAAAATTACATTGCAATTTACAAGAAGGTAAGGATGTTTGCAAATAAGAGGAGGGCATTCATCCCATGTACTGTAGGTCATTTGGTTGCATATGTTGTATAACTATATGATCTGAGTATCTCATCTAGCTATGATTTGAAAGAAACCAGTATGACATTTTGTGAAAATGGCAGGACAGTTTGTTCCAAAGCTTTGTATAAAAATAATGGCTCCTATTCTCCTTCCTGCTATGTGTGCCTTATACACCAGATCTGAGCCCTATGGAAGATTTGTAAGATGGCCTGGAATCACATGGCATCTAGGTTTCTGACACCAGTGAAAAGGCCTATCCAGGGTCTACGAGGGGAATAAGTCACAATCAAATAAGAAAGCATCTGCAATCTGGTGCAAAACATTTGTCACAGATGTAAAGCTTGTATTGCTTCCAACGATGGACACACATTCTGTTAGCCTGTAACTTTTTCTATTGATTAACAACTAAAATAGTTTTATTATTAAAAATATGAATTGCCATAATTAATTTTCCTGTGTCAAATATGTATAATATTAGTGCACTTGCTACAATAATTGATTTTTTTTATAATAACTTTGTGAATTTGTTGCAGTTATAAAGTTCAACTTCTGAAATCAAAAGACAATTCAGTTCAAATCAGATGAGTGTGTGATCTGGTGCAGCTGAAGTTGGTGTCCTACTGCAGCAGCTCGACCGTTTCTTGTAGATCTCTGAGAAAGCTCCTCAGGCAGTCCAGGACTGGATTGGCATACTCCTCTAGCCATTCCTCCACAGTGTCAGGATAATATAGGAGCCCCATCACTACCCTCAGCTCTTCAATCATTGATTCCCACTTTAACAGCAGCCTAGAAAAAAAAACACTGATAAACCATGGAACCCAACCCTGTGTCTGTGTGTAGTAGCAAGACATTTGACTCAACTCTTTACTACTCATATGGGACAACTGGGCCAGTCAGAGCTGAAATTTCAAATGAATCATACAATTGTGCAACACTTAATCAAGTGTTAAAACTAAAATATACATTGCTAGACATTTGTCTTAATGGTTATGGACATAATATACAGTATGACTTCTTCATTAATGGAAGATGCCAATAAAACTCAAAAGCTCGAGACTGTCCAGGTGACTGAAGATAAAGATTTGAGGTATGCTATTGGGAATCACTAAAAATGAGAGCATACATTTTTATGGTAAAGCCCATGATGGCTTTTAAAGTACTACAAATTAAAATTCTTAGTGTAATAAATGAAATAAATTTTAGGCTGTTTTTCCCCACTTACCCCCTAGCCTCAGGCTCAAACTGCTGGACCATTACAGGATGGACAAACTTCCTCTTTCTGTGATATGGACTGAACCATCCAGCTGCATATCTGCAAAGAAATCCAGAAGTTTGAATTCAGTATACATCTGTCATCAGGAAATTCCTATTAATTCTGTGGCAACCTAAAATTTATCCTGAAAATATAGAATAAGAAGGGACTATACCCTGAAAGGGATGCTAGTCGCAGGGGGCACACAACCTCTGGCTCACATGAGCAAATCAGATACATCAATTATCTTATCCAGTGCTTTGGGGTTTAGAAGTTAAATGGGTCACACAGAGAACACCCAAATATACATGGAGAAACCTTGCAAATATCACAGAGTATCTCAGTCCAAAAGTGAACCTAGAGCTAAGAGCTGAAAGGTAGCAGTGTTTGCTGCCATGCTTCTTAAGTCAAGAAGTCAGTGTAATTCATTGTAGGCATGTCCTTTAAACAGTTGTCTCTCATCGTTCCCATCTGGTGCTGTAATGGTAGCTACAGGGATATTAATTAAGAAGGAAATTTCTATTGCACTTGTGTTGTTAAGCAGAAAGCAGTCTCAGAGACATACAGTATGCATGCACTAAAGTAAGCTGACAATTTGATAATGACTGAACAGCAATGAGAAGAACAATGAACATTACAGCCCTGTTATTTATTTAGTCATCACAGCATGCGGCCATATACAGTACTACATATTTATAACTCTTTGACGAATATGAAATAAATAGTTGAGAGTAAGTTGACTGCTCAACAAGCAGAAAACAAGTAGAAGAGCCGTGTCCCTCCAGAAAGTGCATGCTTTAAAGCAACTTGCATGTTTCACTGATTACTGAATAATGCAAAATTAATAACGCTGTATTCACACACTCCTCTGCACTAGATGACAACTTTACCTGTTTCCCTCCAGCACTCTGTCCACGGATGGCTTCAGGTAGGCAGTGATCTGGGTTACTAGCTGGGCCACGTTACTGCCAGGGAAACTGCCAAAGTCTTGCCTGCACCAAAAGAGCCAAGCATACTGTACACCCATTCACTTGGCAACAATAGCTGGAATGGATGGCTTGTGGGTTTTATGAGTATTTTTAAATTAACTTTGAATCAACAAATAATGTTAAAACAAACATTTAGTGTTGTTAAGTTATTAAGTGCATAGTTAGAACAAATGTATGCTAAAATAATTGACATTAAATCCATCTGAAGTTGGAAAGGGGCAGTGTCTCATCCTGGGGGAGAACAGTTAAGTGTTCTCAATCCTAACCTGCGGCTTTATGGCTGCAGGATAAGCTCCTGCTTAACATGAACCTCAGCAGGGTAAGTGTTTTTTTTTTATAAAGGAAGAATGGAAGATTGGAATGAAAAAGCCGTAAAGCTCTCAACAATAGCCGCAGATCATGAACTAAAACCAACAGTTATCCTGCTGAGCCACAAGATTATTCAGTATGAAATCAATAAAAAAGGCATTTTGTGACTTGATCGTCTCTGAGCCTAAGTTATATTTTGCAAATATTTTTACAATTATAAGAAATGGGTACAGTGTGCATACACTGTACCTTACCAAATTCACAGATGTTTTTTTGTAAATTCCATATCCACAGCATTTTGAAACATCTGAATTTCATAGTAAAAAACTAATAGCATACATCATAAATTCCACAGTGTTATATAGAAACATGAGCAAATACCAGAAAATAGAAAAAAACAATAAAAGATAGTGAAAGAAAAGCAGTTTTAAGTTCTTGATACAATAGTCATGTATACAGCAGAAACCATAATTTAATTTCTCCAGATGTCAGTTTTGAACCAGCACAGCATCCTGAAATGGAATTGACTGCGCTAAACTGGTCTTTCAAGATGGGGATTTTACCATCCACAACTCGGGTGGAGCGGTAGCTCTGTGGTTAAGGATCTACGCTTGTGGCTGGAAGGTTGCCAGTTCAAATCCTGCAGCTGGCAGAGGAATCCTACTCTGTTGGGCCCCTGAGCAAGGCCCTTAACCCCAACTGATCCAGGGGCGCCATATAAATCGCTGACCCTGCGCTCTGACCCCAAGTTTCTCTCTCCCTGTGTGTTCCACGGAGAGCAAGCTGGGGTATGCAAAAAGACTAGTTCTTAATGCAAGAAATTGTATGTGGCTAATAAAGTGACCTTATTTTATCTTAGCAACTTCTTCTACTGTTTTCCAAAAACACTGCAAATTCTCCAGCTAGGTTTTGTTTTCTAGAAAATACAGATTGTATTAAATACCACCATCATATGTGTTAAACCATCACATTATTGTCATTCACATTCACAAACAGTTAGGAAGGATTTTGATACTACAGACAGTTTTGGGGTGGTTCTGCCTTTTCTGCCCCCATGGGATTACTGTCTGCCCCTGGAGAGCAAATTGTGAGAAAGCTGAATTATTAGTTTTACCTTTGTGCCACTGATACCACCAGATTTCATGGTAGACAAGATTTCAGTGTCAAGTTTTTTACAGGTGCTTTGCAGTGCTCAGTTCTGTCTCATCCTAGACTTACAATGCAACTGACCCACTGGTAGGTACCTGCACTGTATTATATTTACATTATGATGATATAAGTTAATTTCTTACATTGTTTTACAAGTTATTTTGATTACTTTTATAATTTTGATCGTAACCAGCTGGAGGTTACCCTGCAGTTGTGGCGTGAACAATGCATACAGTAAGTAAGACCTTACTTTTAATAATGTGCACAATTTTGCCTATTCAAGAAAGTTGAAACTCTAGAATTTCTAGTTTCAGAAACTCATCAGACATGAATAGAATATGTTATTTTGGGCAGAGAAATCAGATATTCAAGACACTACAAACAAAACTGTCAAAAGAATCTCTCATTTGGAACCTATTGTATGTTTTATGTTAAACCAAATACTATCCAAATATTTTTCATTAAAGAATACTGAGCATACAGAAAATGCATTGTTCCAAGGCACTCTCACCGTACAAATGTGTCAGTTTCCAGACTGGATATTCCTAGGCATTGCCGAAATGTTTCCTGTGCATTGTCTGTGAAAACACCTGTCACAAAAGAGCAGAAAAGACAATTACAGTAGGAAACTACTGTCCTCTACTGTCCTGTAGTGTTAATCCTTAGGGATTAACTGTATTTTAGAGTTCACGTGTTCACGTGGGTTTCCTCTGGGTGCACTGGTTTCTTCCCACAGTCCAAAGACTGGTAGGTTAATTGGTTTCTGGGAAAACTGCCAATGATGAGAATGCATGCATATTTGTTTTTGTCTGCCCTGCAATGGACTGGTTTTCCAACCAGGAAGTATCCTGCCATGTGCCGCTGCTTGCCTGGATAGGCTGTAGCACCCCTGTGACCTTGTATTGGATAAGGTAGTTAGAAAATGAGTGGAGACTTTAATAGCTTTTCCTTCTCACTTTCAGCATGTCGAAAAGCAGAGGTCTGGGTTTCATGTTAGCAGTTTTGTTCATCACAGAGAAGACAAAGACAGATAACCCACAAGTGTCACAGTCTAATTGGAGAATGAGAAGCTGTGTGCTGGTCTCACCATGATGCAGTGTCTGCAGACAGGCTGCCAGTGAAGGCAGACCCACAGGAAGCAGCTCACATAACACAGAGAAATGGTCATACCTGTGAGACACAAACGCACAGTCATTCACTGTCAAACTGCTTGCTTTCAGGACAAAACAACTCCCACAAAACTGCAGATGGTTAAAACTTAATTGATGTCTATGAAAATCTAGTAAAAAAAATATTTAAAAAACAGGCTTTTTTGTATATCAAACATTTATATAAAATATATAACCCTTGGAAAACCCAAGTAATAACTATGTGTCTTTAACAAACCCAACTGCATTCTCTCACCTTTGCCAGCCTGTGACCGCGATACCCTGGATCTCCACCATCCCTTCAGGCAATGCACTGACTACCTTTAGCCACTGCATGTGATTGGCCACATGGTTGTCAATGCAGGTGAGACACTGGTTGACCTCTGTCGACCCTTTAAAGGAACTAGCCACCCAAAGCTTGGAGAGCCCGCTTTGCTGGTACTTCTCGATCAGATGCACTAAAGCAATAGCACAAATTAATATATTATTGAATTTAACAGTTGGACATCAGAGCATAACCATTGATCTCATGTACTAGTTCCTTTCATTACTGTTATGTGAAAAAAAAAATTCTACATTGTCCTAGTCATCTGCAGAACAGCAATAAGCTTCAAGATAAATCCTTGCAATACTGAAGATCTCATGAGGCCTATATAAAATCTGTCAACATCAGATATTAATATCAAGACATCCCTTATAAGTTGGGGTAGGGGGTAGGGTTACCACCTATTCATTTTT